AGAGTTATTTCTCTTACACAGTCCTTTGTGATCATCAATGCAGGAAGACCAGATGCTATTGACATTTTGAGCATTTCAATTTTTTATACTACAGGACTCTCCCACTATTTGCAAGACATGTAACATTCCTATTCCAAGTCTATTAAATGCCAGTAGCACCTGCACATTTTTTTTCAGGCTTTATTGAGATATAATTTGCAAATAACATTGTGTATCACTACATCTGGCTGGTCATTTGTATCTTATATAGTAAACTGTAATAGTAATGGGGGAAAAATTGTCAGAACCCCTGACTTTGTAGCCAAGTCATATGAAAGTATGGGTAACCTGGGAACCTGATACCTGCAAAGAGCACCTGAAGTAAAAAGAGTTTTGAGGACGGAGCTCTTAAATCTGTGGAGTCTAACTCTGGGTAGTCAGTGTCAGAAAACTGTAGGAGACCAAGCTGATGTCAGAGTTGGAAAAGTGGTGTTGGAAAAGATAACAGGTATTCAGTGTCATGAGGGGAGAAAACACTCAGGCCCCTACAAAACTTTACAACTTCTAATTACACCTTTAATAAATTTCAGTTTGAAATCATATGATCTCATATTCATTTCCCCCATCCTACCACAATCATAATTAATTTCTTCAAGGGCAAGCTTATACTCTACTGGTGATGAGAAATCTCCCCAGATCCTCATCAAAATTTATCTTTCTCTCTCTCATACTTTAATTTCTTATAATGTATCTTTAATTGTAGCACTTCCACAACCTGCTTTATGTTACAGTAAGCAAGGAATGCATAAATCATGACCAAAAATTATGGTATAGGGGCATTCTATAAAATACTTGAACAGTACTCCTCAAAACTTCAAGATCAAAAACAAGTAAAATCTGAGAAACTTGTTACAGCCAATAGTAACCTAAAAAGATATGAAAACCAAATATGATGTGGTTTCCTGGATAAGATTCTGGAACAGAAAAAGAATATTAGGTAAAAACTAAGGAAATCTAAATAAAATACAGAAAAACAAAAACCTATTATGGTATGTTATATGAATAGAACATGTAAACAAGGAAAACATGCTATTCTTGAATGATCTAGAAACTTTTTACTAAGATCAATTCTCATACAAATCATTTAGAAGTATGGCCAGTAAAATCACTATTTGGCTACATTATAACAGCTCTACAATTTATTTTATAGATTTAAAAGAAATAAAGCAGCGTGACTTTAAAAAGCATTCAGTAATTAAAAAGATTACCCTAGCTTTTCTCTTAAATTAGTGAAACATAAGTGTATGCACATAAGCAATTAATAATATTATGAAATAAGACTAACTTTTACATATTCATATGTAATATATAATTATGCTTTTATAAATATAAATCTACTATATGAAAAAATTTTATATATGCTATAATTTCTAGTTCTATTTTCCAAGAGAATGCAAGATTTACACAAAATTTTATATTTCATAGGCTCTAAAAGACATTATTTTATATAGCATTCAAAAGATAAAAAACACTCTTAAGTATAATTATAAAATGCTATGATTATAAGAAGTATACTGATTTCACAGGTATTAAAATGTGTATCTTTAGAATGAATGAAATACAGTAGTTTTTTTCTCATGGTAGAAACGTTATTATGTATTGTACCAATTTAACTAAGTCTAATTTACAGTACTGAATATCCGTATAGTGCCGGAAAAAAAAACCCTGCATTCTCTAGTTTTTATAGAAAAGTAACTTAGGTTTTTTATGTGCTATGCATAAAATATCTTATTAATACAATGAGCGGACGCGAACTACCCTGATTGTTTAAACTAAATTGTCAAATGGCTCTAAAAAGCAGATTAACAGAAAATGGAAATGCTATCCCTACATATTGTCCCACAATAACAATAATGTTTAAAAATACAACCATACTTTGTGGGTCAGCTTTGTGTTGTGATTATCATATTGAAATAGCTTAAGGTATGTTAGTTTGGATTAGATCACATAAATTATCAAAGCTCATATTGAATTCAACTTTTAAATTGGTTTTTTCAAGCCAAAAAGGACTTTAAAAAAAATCTGGATTCTCTTTCATCTTAAATTAACACATCAAGTTTATATGCATAACCTCGGACATTTCTCATTAAGAAAAAAAGGATCTTTAAAACTTTATTGTTATATGACTTTTAAAAAGATTAATTGCTTCAGTAGATGAGAAAAATTGTTTGCCTTAAGTTTACTTCGTCTTGTTTAGGCTCAAAAGTAATTGTGTTTTCTTTGTAAATAAGTTCTGGAAGATCAACATATTCTGAAATGTGCAAAAAAATTAAGTGTCATGTCTATTGGTCTTGGAAGAAATTAGATGTGATTTGGTTACAAGTTCAGATGTTGATTCCCCTTGAGAACAACAGCACTTTTGGCAGAGGTTCCTTCAAAAGTTAATGAAGCTGAGTCTTACAGTCAATTTTTCTCTTCTAACTTAAAAAAAAAAAAGTTGAATATTCCAAAATCTGATTGCTTTAATAACTGTGCAATAACTCTAATATATCATATCCCCCTGAGAGTTAAGTAGTTACAAAGGTACTAGCTGATAATCTTATTAGATTCACTATTTAAAAAAAAAATCCCCGAAGGTCTATGTTCAAAGTTCTAAGGATATTCATAAATCACACATAAAGTTCCACAAAGGAACCGCACTCAATATGTTCATATCTATTTTTAGGTTGGCCATAAATGTGGAAGACAGGATGCTTTGTACAGTTCATTGTAATACCTTTTGTTTCTGGCTTTCCAAATTATACTAAACAAATATGTTCTTGGACAGGGACCTGTGAGAAGGCAGGCTTCGGGTGACCCGGAAGAAGAGAAACAGTGAGGAGCCAGGAATAAGGATGGACTCTGGCACCGCACCCCTCTTCTCCAACACACACAGTGATTTCCATGGGGAAAGGATGTTGGCCACCCTGGTGGCCTGCAGAGATCTAGCTAGATCCACCCTCTAGTCCCAGGCCTGATTTTTGATCAGAAGGGAATTACAAAGATGCCCTCATGGTGACTGTGCCTGTCAGCTGCATGGAGCATCGTTCAAGGATTTTCTGAGCCTGATGGATTTATAGTGATATTTGGCCATGTGGGGGAATAACGCTGGTGGAAGCATTCTCTGGAATTACATCATACCCAGCACATTTCTGAAGGCTAACAGTGGTTTTACGGAAGGCCTTGGCTGAGTGCCTCATGGATTTCTGCAGCCTGGGTGCCCATAGAGGAACAGAAGATTGCAGCTCCTTGTGAGAGCTGAGACCTCTGTCCTTGTCTCAGGAATGTTCAGTTGGGTCTCTGCCAACTCCCTTTGGGGGCTCCCTCTGAAATGGGTGAGGTACTATACCTCACAGGATTGGTGTTGAGGATCACAAAACAGATACTGATTTGTGGAACACCCAGCATTGTGCCTGGCACGTAGCGGACATTCAGCACATGAACTGGGAGCACTTCTTGTCCTCTAGGAAAGACAGAATTTCAATAAGGGACTTCCTACCTGTGTCAGGGAGGCAGGTGCTATGCTAGGCTCCAGAATGAAGTAGGATCAGGATTGCAGTACAGCCCTCAGAGGCTCACTGTCTGAAGGGAGCCCATGCCGTTGGCCACTAGGCCACATTGTCTGAAGCTGAGAGAAGCAACTTCTGCCCACTTCTTGGCCCCTGGCGAATGTGTGACCTTGGGCAGATCAACTCCCTTCTCTGGGTCACTGGTAGGGAAACCATCTAACTTCTAAACTGAAACACTTGAGAGTAAAAGGGGGACTATAATACTTACTCTGGGATGACCAATGGTAATCAGGACATTGCTGGGCAAATCAGGCCCAGTGACCCCAGGACTTGACAGTTAGATGGGGGACAGTGCTGGTAGTGCTGCTGTTGCTGCTGCCACCACTGCTGCTAGTACTGCTGATGCTGCTTGGTGACTGAGTCCTGCCATTTCTCCACTGCATTTGTAGTTTGCATTTCTGCTTTTGAGGTAAGTTCATCATCTCACAAAATATGCCTTCAGCTGCTTGAAGAGAACTCGTTTATCTTTGAGCTCTGTTATCCCAAACTGCAACTAGGGCAAGCCTCACATGTGTGTGTGTGGGTGTGTGTTTACTGATGGTTCCCTGTGATGACTGACAATACACACTGCAGTCCTAGGGACTTGGGGGACTCAGCACTGCCCTCTAATGTATGCAGACAACCCAGCCAGCATTCCCAATGATCAGGCGATGCCCTAGACTTCAACAGAGGTGCCCAGGTCCCCTGGAGGTCTGCTCAAAGTCACTGTAAGGGATGGCGGTGACTCATTCTCCAGGTATTATTCCTATTTTACAGAGGGACTAAGTAACTTGCCCATGGTCACGCAGCAGCCCATGCTGTTCTATATTGCCTTTCTCGTGTTCTATTTAATGTCAGTCCATTGTTTATGTGATGGTTCCACAAATTATATATATGCTTATACTATCTCTCACAGAAATATGTGCTATTATAAAGCATACTTTATAAGCTTTAAAGTGTTACATAAATATCAAATAGCATATTAAAAGAGAAAAACTATTGATATATATATACTAATAAAGGATAAAAATGACAGATAAAATTTAACCTTTACCTCTTCTAATTGCAATGGTTTGGGAACTGAAATCTATTTTTCTGGAACAGGGTCGACATTCTTTCCAAAACTATGAAGGCACTCTCCCTACTGTCAGATGGAATAAGAGTGAAATGTAAGCCCTGGGGACATTTTAACCTATTTCTCTTCTTTCATTATACTCAGGGATCACCAATCTGAATTGCTGAGTGCCCAAATAGTGTTGGTATAGAATGCCATATTTAAGGCTTTAGACTTTTCCCCTGTTCTCTGATTTTACACAGAAATACCTGAAGCGTAACTTTCGCTGAGTTCTAAAATTTTCAGCAGGTTGGAAAATCATGGAAATTGGAACTCACTCCCAACATAATTCAATTTGGAAACTGAAGTTCAAAGAAAGCCATAAAAATTCAATTTAAGTAAGATTTATTGATTGCCTATAGTGTGCACGGTCCTCTATTAGACACAATGAAATTCAGGCACAAAACAGACATAAGATCCCTGGCCTCAGGAACCTTATGATCTAATTAGTATAATACAGATTAGAAACAGATGACAGACAAGTTACATGTCAACGCTCACTTACTAAGATCGACGTTAAAGAGCAGTAATTTAAGTAATCCAAAATGGCATCTAATCCTAAAATCATTTATAAAATGTATTTGGCCTTGAAATCCATAGTACTTCAAGCAAGATAATTTCCACTGAAGATAAAGTCACAAAAATGTAAATACACTGAAACCCTTAAGAGCACTATTAATGATTTTTGTTATTTTGGATCTTCTGCTTTCTTCTTATTATCGTTCGAAGTCTCCGTAATACCAGTTTATCAGACAGAAGCATGTCATCCTGTTGTTCTAGATAATCCAGTAAATTATCAGTCCATTCAAGTGCAGCTTTATGGCTAATGTGCCTCTCTGGATGCAGCTCTGTTTTTCTAGTCTTGTTGGAGGGCTTTTGCTCAGCAGGCTTGGACTGGTCCTCAGCACCTTCACTGTCAGTTAGCACCCGACAGCTTGAGTCATTACTCCGGGAATCAAACCACTGATCAATGTTCTCAATGTCAACATGTTCACAGTCTTCTGTATTCTGTAAAACCGTTGCTAAGTTAGCTGCTAAAATGGCTCCTTCATCAATGTTCATACCTGAATTCTCTTCATTGCCAGGGAAAAGTTTTTTCCATGCCTTGGTTATGGTACTTGATTTTACCATATTCCAAGCTCTTGATACTTCATAAATTGCATCCAACACTGTCAAGTTCTTCCAAAACATTTTTGGGTCAATTCCTTCATCCATGTATTTCTGTAGAAGTCCTGCACGGTAGTATCTTTTTAACGTGGCTAGAACTCCCTGGCTCATAGGTTGAATTAGACTTGTGACATTTGGTGGCAAATATTTCACAATTATTCTGCCATCATCTGAACTCAACAATTCTTCATCTGGATGTGCTGGTGGAAAATCCAAAAGCAGCACTGCTTTTTCTAGAAGACCCTTGGATTTCAAATGCTTCTGTACCTGTGGCACAAAGTATTTTTCAAACCACTGCCTGAAAACAGAATGTTCTATCCATGCACTTTTTTGACTGAAATAAGTGACAGGAAGGTTTGAAATGTCAGTTCCTTTGAATGCACGGGGTTTTTTTGCTTTTCCCACAACACAAAGATTCAGTTTGTGTAAACCTGTGGCATTTGCACAACACATAATAATGATTCGCTCTCTGCTTGACCTATAACCAGAAGTACTGTGCTCAGTTTCAAGAGCTAATGTCCTTGATGGTAAACATTTCCAAAACAATCCAGTTTGATCAGCACCATAAATTTGCTCTGGTTGTAGATTCTCTCTCTCAACAAATTCCTGAAAGTTACCACAAAATTCATTGGCAGCAGTTTCATCTCCTTTTAATTTTGTTCCTTTACCAGCAGCCTTTGGAATACCATGGCGCTGCTTAAAACGAGTTAGCCAGCCAGATGATGCATTAAAATCACCTTCCATCCCCAAAGCATCAAAAAAGAACTTGGCTTGTTTTGCACAAATCGTTCCAGACACTGGAATCCCATCTGTTTTCTGTTGGTTAAACCACTCTATCATAACTCTATCAAGTTCCTCATATGTTGATGACTTCATAGATTTACGTTTGGATACCCCACTTGTAGGATCTGAACTATTTGCATAGTTTATTATCCTTTCTTTGTTCTTTTTAATATCACGAACTGTGGATTCACCAATTCCATACACCAAAGAAAGTTTTTTGAAAGAGATACCTTCTTCTAGTTTCTTAATAATGTCAAGCTTGTCCTTAATTGTCAACACCACGCGTTTACGTTTCCCCAACATTTTAATGTCTAATATTTCAGGAGATGACTAGAGCAAGATATTTAACAACTTAGATTTGAACACAATGAGACTAGAAATGGGGTTTTAAAATTCCTCCCCTGTCTTCCTAGGACCTAGATGAATCCTGTGCTGGCTAATTTCCAGGCAAGGCCTATGTGGCTCTCTTCACTTTGCTATTTCAAAACTTACAAAGTTCCTTCTACAAGGACTAGCTCTAATTAACCCTAGTGTCTCTATCTCTCTTCCTCATTTAGTTTAAGGTTTTTTCAAGAACTACAATCTCAATGGAGACTGCAACCAATATTGTATTAGCAAGGTCTCTAAAACAGTCTTATTGCACACTCAGTTCTTGCCATCATTACAGGTGAGGTTCTTTGCTAAAGGAACTAAAACTCAGGTGTAAGTATTTTGGGAATTGTGCTGAGGAATAAATAGTTTAAGAGAAGACTTCCAGACTTGACATATAGTTAAATATAGTGGGAAAACTCATCCCATAACTTTTTTTTTTCAGGCAGTGTATTATTGTATGGAATGCTGCCTCTTCAGGCAACGACTGCTCTACAGGTTACACAAGTGAGTCGTTATGGAAATCATAAGCAAAGTAAGGCAGGCTGGGCAGAAGTGAGCAGTGCAAATAAGGCAAAAGTGAACAGGCAGAAAACTTTGTACTTTAACACGACACAAACTTATACCTAATGTATTCAGCAATTGGAAAGGAAAAGGGGTAGACAAGAGGTGTTGTCATATGATTAAAGCAAGCATTAAATTTTCATTGGTAGAAATCAGGACTCATGGTAGAGGGTATGGGTGGAAGGCTCAGTAATGATGTTACAATAATCCTGGTGAAGGATGATCCTCAATGGGCCAACAGAAGTACTGTAGTTCCTGTGGGGGGCTGTGTAGGCACTCGGAGCCTCCGAAACCTAAAGGAAAATATCAAAAACATTTTTTTCAATATCAGGGTCTGTGGTATTACCCACATCTATTCTGAAACTATGTTGAGACAATTAACGCCTCCTATCAATGTGAAGGCTAATTTGACAAATAATGCTTTCAGGCATTATCTGCAGTGACAGCGGGACCTGAATTGCCTACCTCCTGAAATTAAGAGGTCAGAGAGAAGCCGCGTAAGCGTGGGCCTCTCCCCGCAGGGCGAGCTCTGGAGCGCGGGACGTCTTTGCTCACGCGGAGGGAGCCCGGATTCCTCCGTGGCCGCTGGCGACCAGGGTGTCACCGCCGCAGCAAGCCAGCAAGCAAGCGGCTGCTTGGCCCAGGGGACGCCAGTCCACGGACCGGGGGCATCGCTCTCCGCCTGCCTGAGAAGCTGCCAGAACGCCCTGAGAGCAAATGGAGTCTCTGGAGGGACGTTGACACCGGTGGCGCGGCAGCAGCAAGCAGCGAGCGTCGCCGCCGGAGCCGGAAGGCGGGGGATTAGGGTGCACGCGCGCGCCCCCGCAGGAAC